ATCAGGTCACATAAATTTAATATGACTAAAATGACCATATGATTTGTGACTTGGTTACTTAGTCATTTAGGTCATATTCAGTCATTTACCAACACTGCTATAAAGAGAGTGACTTGTATATAAACTTCATTATATTAAAATTTTTAATATAAAAGTCTTTCGATATAATGAAGATTTTCTATTTTAAATATAAACTTTACTATATTAAGAGTTTTCAATACAGTGAATATCTTAATATAGTGAAGAAAATTCTTCAGCCCAACAACTTCACTATAATGAGAATGACTTGTATATCCCTTAGGGCTATTTTTTATACAATTTTTGAATCTGTGCCCGGTTATGCATGATTATGCATGATCTACAAATCAGATTTGAGAATTAGGTGTAACGTAGCACAATCAAAACAAACGTTCGTTTTGCCGAAAATCGCTTCTTTCTCAAAAATCTGTATAGTAAACCGCCTTTAATGCACTAACAAAAAGTTTTTCTTGTACAATTTTACTATAAAACCATTTAGCTTTTAACTTTATATGAAACGCTAACCTTAACATTAATAAACTTTAAAGAATTTTACATGGTGATCGGCATCATGCATAACCGGGCACAGATACAAAAATTGCATTTTTTGTAAATGTTTTGTTTTTACAAGCAAGGTTGTAAAAATAAAAACATTTCACCAGAGGTTTTAGTGAGTAAAAATCTTACACTGTCTAGGGGGTAATATCCTTTATTCACCTTTTGAAGGTTTCCTCTGGTTCAAAAAAAAAAAAATATTAAATTAGGCCACACAAATTTAATATATTGGTTTTCATAACATGAAACTTTTAAACAGACCCGGCCGGCCGGCTTTTTTTTTTAAATTTCATATATAAAAATTTATAAAATTTTTTTAAAAATTTTTTAAAATACCCACCCGGTTATTTAAAACAACAAAAATTTTTTTTACAAATTTTCAAATTTTGACCCGGCCGGGTTATGAAAACCAATTAATTAAGTTTGTATGGCCTTACTTTAAATTACGCTATTTAAAAATTTTTTACAAGTGTTAAAGTTATAATTATATTACGACAGGGTGAACCCGCGCAGTGAATTAGTAAAATCCGCTACGTAGATCACATGAGGGTGAAATTCGCTTTTGCATAATAAAAAACATAGCGCGGATTTCACCCTAACGTGATCTACGTACGTACGTACAGTACATAGCGGATTTTACTAATTTATAACGCGGGTTTCACCCAGTCCTATTATATTAACGTAAAGCTTTTAACGTTTTTGTATTGTATTAGATTTAGGTTCTATCGTTATTTATAAAGAGTTGTAAAGAGAAGATGTTTTCGATACCGAACTACTAAGTGTATAAGATAAAGATAGTCGTTTATAACGCTAAGTAACACTAGGACGGTTGGATATGTTATGTTACTTATCGTTATGTAAGGTTGCATATATGCAATGCTATTAGAACTCTCAAATAAGTTATATAACGGGTAAGAATAAATTTACCAATCGTAAAGAATATCAATTTTATTTGATCTTTGGCAGCATATAAATACAGTATTGGCATATAACTTCACTTTTATAGTTAAGAAGGTTTTTGATATCGAATGCATAATCTAAATTTGCAATTACATCAAGTCGATATTATCTTGGAAAATATTACAGTAAGCTTATCATCAAAAGATTCCATTAAAAGCTTGTTGCTCGGTTATGATTTGTTTTTCCGCTGTTAGTGTGAACGGTTGACCTTGTAATACTTCGAGAATTTTTTTTTAACTTGAAGGGAGTCAAGATCAGAGATGATCTCGATGTATATAAGTTCGAGACCCGAAGCTATAGATATAACGAATTAATTTGCTTTTCTACTCTTATTATGCTACTTGAAAATTTCATATTAGGATCATTTATCTTGGAGCTTTCTTTCTTCGATACGCTATAATACACTATAATACACTATAATATTTCAAGAATGACGAATTCTTATCATTAATTCGCAGTATCTTTTTTAGTACCCCGAGATCGAAGTATTTTTATATTTTTCATTTGTACATTCGTTTTTCTATCGGGATAATCAAAATTTACGTTCTCCGATTGGGTGTCTCCTGGTGGTGCTAAATTTTGGCAAAGTTTGTTAATTCTGACCCAGACATTCTCTATTCCGATGAATTCCAACTGTATGCTATAGATAAGTGACGAAATTGGTTTCGAAATGGCAAAATTGACGAAATTTGACGAAATACGTATTTCATCAAATTTCGTAAAGTTCGTCATTTTTCCGAAAGAATATAATTCCGACTCAAATTAGTCAGCATTATAAACTAGCTTTATCTGGACTATGTTCTTTAGAAATAGTATTTACGTACGTACGTACATGTGTATATTCCCTAGTGCTAGCTAAATTTGCAAAATAAAAAATAACCAGATTTTTCATGTTCTTTATACCGTCGCAATAATTTGAGGAGCGTCGATTGGTGTAACTTATGAAATTCATGAAAATCGTGTTAATTCCCGATTTGTCGAGTTATATAACACTAACGCATTATGTTTGTGATCATTATCATTATGTACTGTATTAGCATAACGATAACGGAAAGCAGATTTCTTATGATCATTTTCCGTCATAAAATCATGGAAATAATGGATAATCATATATGTTGATATTGCCAATTTTTTGAAACGTTTTCAAACTGTATGATGAATAGTACAGTATCATATAGTTTCGACTACGTATAATAACCAAACAGTAAATTACCTAATGTGATACTAGTTTAGGCACTAATTGAAACTTATCGTTACGTATCGAGAAAAAAACTTTTTAAAAAAAAGTACGTACGTACCAGTACATAACTCGTACGTACGTACGTATATATATTTGTTAATAAAGATTTCACAAATTGATTGTTTGCTGATCTTTTAATGTATTGTCTTATCGATTATATATATAATTAATAAATGCATTATTTAAATTGAAATGCAGTAAATTACCGCAGCAAGAATTCCAAATATGTATTGGGTACGTACTAATTAAATTTATTCAATCTGTGTAAAAAATTTATGGATTTTTTGTGGAATAAGTCAAAGTACATGATCAAATATCTAAAAATTTTTTGTTTTTTGTAACGTATGATATGTGAATTGCTGACCCAATTATTTGACCTGTTTACCTGCAAATATCATTTTTGGTATTTCAGTGTAAAGTCCTATTTTCGCCTCCTTTTTTCTTCTCTATTATTTTGTTAGATAATCCTTCCATTCCTTTAATATTTTTGTCCTTTTTTTTTGACTTTAATTTAAAATTTTACATTACTAGCATTTCCGTATCACACCAACCTTACTCTATTTTTTTGGTGAAGTGTAAAGATAACATTTTTCCGCGAAATACATAATGTCTTGCGATTTATCAGATCCCGCCATTTCAGAAGCATACGAGGAGATAATTAGTGGTCAAGAGACTAACTGGTAGGGTTTACATTTTTTCCATTATATTTCTGTGGTAGTTAAGGTTTTTGCTATCTGCTTTTTTTTGATTGTGAAGCAGATGAGTGCAAAAGACGACAAATTGTCTATTGATACGTTATAAGGTATTGAAAGGTCATTTATTATATGAAACGATTGAAAATGATAATTTTTATGTGGAAATAAGCGAAAACGATTATATTATTAGTATCTAACCAGACTCTTATCATTCTCTTGTCAAACTTATTATCAGAATAGATTTCCAATTAAGTTTCTTAACATATATTTTTTATAATCAATTTAGGCTTATTCTTGGCTATCATGATACACGAGATAAAATTTCCCTTTATTCTAAAGGTTCTGGAGGCCTCGATGAACTTCGTAATAATCTTAGAGAGGAAGTGCTTTATGGTTTCCTTAGAATTGAAAACAGATTCGTCTTGCTTACTTATGTTAGCGAAGCAGTAAGGTATATTTAATTTATAAATATATTAAATACATTGAAAAAAAATTTTTTATATACATATATATATATCCTTTAATATCCTTTATTAATTTTTAATAAACTATATGAAATTAAAATCTATAGTGGTGTACGAAGAGGTAATTAATTTAAGCAAATTTTAAACAAAGTATTTATTCCTATATAAATTAATTGTCAATGTTTTTTTTTTATCTGAATGATAGCACGCGCGTTGGTCCACGGCAGAGCCGTTGGTGCATTATTCAAGGTATGTTGCTTATATCAATTAGATTTATTTAATAATATGCTTGGAATCCTGAAATGTTTGAACGCTTTCTTTATTGTCAAGCAGGCACATCAAATTCAGATTAATGCTTCCACCCCAAATGACCTTACGGAAGCTAATGTCCGTAATAGATTGAAATTAGGTGAACCAGCTGAAAGACCAAATTCTCCTCCAGGTCCGAAGCGTAGTCAAACTCTTCCCGGTACTCCACCGGCTGGAAGCCCTGTTCAACCTCAAGTTCCTGTGTCTCCTGTTTCTCCTAAACAACAACCTCAACCTGACTCAGGAAATGATGAAGCTCTCTTAAAACAAGAATCTGAAAGACGCGCTGCTGAAGACGCTGAAAGACTAGCGCGTGAAAAAGGTGAACGTGATGCTGTTGCCCAAAGAAAAGTGGCTGAACAAGTTGCTAGGGAGGCCGCTCAAAGGAGAGCTGCTGAAGAGGCTGAAAAAAAGAAACAAGAGGCTGCTGACCAAGAAAGAAGAGAAAAGGCTGCTGCAGAAGCAAAAGCTAAAGCAGAACTTGAACGTAAAAATCGTGAAGAAGCTGAACGAAAACGTAACGAAGAACTTAGAAATAAATTTGCTGAATTGGAAAAGAGTGGCAAGGTGACTACTATTTAATCTATTGGTCTTTTTTTTCTTTTGCATATTTAAATTATTATTATTTTTCTTTTTTAGGTTACATTAAGTGGATACATTACTGTTCAGGGTGGTGGTGTTTATGTACGTAATTTACACTATTATTCTTTTAACTTACACATTCATTTCGTCTATTATGATAAAATCTAAACTGTTTAAACCTGTTTAAATAAATACCACAATAACCAGTTCTGGAAACGTCGTTTCTTTGAACTTCGCGGCAAGACACTCTACCTTTTCCGAGATGAAACTGATAAGCTTCCCATTTCCAAACTTGAACTTGACGGTCAAGTCACTGGCGTAACAGATGCACAATCTGAAGTATTAATACTTAATTCCTTTAAAGTTGATTTTCGATCTTCAGAACCATATTATTTCTTTTCTGATGATAAAAAGAATAAGGAATTGATTGTTGCGGCTATAGGTAGATATGCTAAATAATCTTTACATATTCCTTTATATTCCTTTTAAATACAGTAGGCATGGTTTTGGGGGGTTTTTTTTTAAATTTGAAGATGGCTAGAATACGGAAATTCTTTTCGCTCATCTTCAATTTATGTTTACTTTGCGTTTTGCAATTCTTTTTATTTTTATGTAATACATAATTTGTATTTTTTACAAATGTCTAGTTTTTCTTTTTTTTTTTTTTTAAAATTTATCATCATTGTTCTTATATAACTCTAATGGTTTTGGTATATTTTTTTCTTAGAGCAATTTGTGATTTAAATATATGGCGTAAGTGAAATACAGTATTTAAATTGTGTAATTTTTTTATAAGCTTTTTAATGCAAATATATGCATTCGAAAGAGTAATTTTAAAATTTTATTAAATGAATCATTCGAAAATTTTTGTGAAATGTAACTACTAGTTACAAATAGTGCTAAGTACTTCTATCATTATATATTTATACTATTCATACTATTCATGCATAATTGATTAACTATGGGTTTAGAAAACTTTGTGTAAATCGGGCCGGTTGATAATATTGGTAATTTGTTATTTATATAGATATATAATAAAATTTATACGTACAGTATAATTACTAAAAATTGTTTTAGCTATATTTTTTTTTCAAATTTTTGCTTATTATTTTGTCGAGTTTTTTTATGTATTTCAATGAAGTTTTTTTATAAAGATTGATACTTACCTATATACCGATACAGTATATTAAGGTTTCACTAACTATATATTGTATAATCAAAATTTTAATCGAATCAAATCAGTTATTTAATTAAATTTAATTTATATACGTAGTTAAATATTGAGTTAATGCATATATATGCATGTTTTTAATATTACAACTTTAAAGTTTAATTATATAAATAATTGTAATCTAAGGTAAAAGGGGGTATTTTGGCGAAGGGGGGTATTGTGGCGAATTTAGTTTATCTCGTATCTAATAGAGACGAATCGAATGGTGGTTAGATCATCTAATTTTGATCACTGGATCACGAGATAATAATGATTGTGGCAGATCATAATGAAATCAGATCATAATGAAATTTAACTTATTTTATGTACGATTTTTAAAATTTTTTGGGACCTTTTTAGTTAGGTTTTTTTTATAGTTAAGTTAGTGTTTAGGGTTAGAATTATTAGGAAAAGAGTATAGGTGGATTTTGGTAGAGCTTATAAATCTTTAAATTGAGACCCCTAAATTTCACAATGATCTGATTTCATTATGATCTGCAACAATTGTGATGATTATATGCAACGCCAAAATAATCTTGAGGGAATTACAACGAAATTTTGGTGCTTCACATAATCGCGAATATCTTGTGATCCAGTGATTAGGATTAGATGATCTAACCACCATTCGATTCGTCTCGATGAGACGAATCGAATGGTACAAAAATTATCTGATTTGGATCACTAGATCACGAAACAACCTAAATTCGCCACAATATCCCACCTCTCTAAATTTAACTTTTTTGTATAGTACACAATCCTAAGAATTGTTTCTTCAAAACAATTTTCTATATTACCAATTTTATATATTAATTTTTTCAACTTTATCATTATACACCCTTTTACCTTATATATTAATTATAAAGTTTAATAAAAATTAAAAATTTTTTTTTAGGTTTTGTAATCTTGGTGTAATTTTTTTTTTATATATTAAGGTGTGGTCATGCTTCTGGTTTTTATTATTAATGTATACTTCATATACACTAGTTACAATTACATATATATTAATTTACAAATTACAGAAATTTAGATTAATTTATTTATAACCTAAACCTACTAGAGTGATCAATACTCCACACATATATCACCTAGCTTTATGTTTTCTAACTAGCTATTTTCTGATAATTATTATATTCTTACCTTTATTAGTCATAATTTTCAATTTGGTATGTTAGATATTTATTTCTTATGAGCTTCTAATTTGATATATCTACAAGCAGAAATATACATTTTGACTGTTCAAAGGCTTTTTTAGTACTGTTCAACGTCTAAATGTCCAAGTGTCTAAAAGTGTTCAGAGTATACTTAAGCTTTAATAATTAATAAATTTGTTTAAAATATATATAACTATATATTTTTTTAG